CTAAAATAATGGAAAATTGGAAAAGATATCAGATAAAAAATAAACAAGGGAGTACGTCAAAAATCTTAATCTCAAAAGCATGAAGATAATAAAGACGGGGAAATAAAATAATAACAAATAAATCATTTTGATTCAATGAGATTATTGATTATTTGATTTGAGGTTGTTAATGAAATAAAATCTTTGGTATTATCTAATGTGAAGATGCAGAGGTAACAGTATGAAAATAAAAAATAGACAAATTATTTTGATAACAACTAAGGTTATGAATGAGATCAAATCTTTGTCATTTTCCAATGTGTAATAATATTAATGAAGATGCGAAGATAACAATAAGAATGCAAAAATAATAACATAGATTGATACAAAAAACAGAATAGATAAATGATTTGATAAGATCATAATATGATCGAAATTTTTAAGGATATAAACCCTAGGTGCACGGGTCGATATAAATGAGAGCAAGAGAGAATGACTTTTTTTGACCCCCCCAAATATGATGTTTGACTATGTGAAAAGAATTGACCTTGGGCTATGATGTTTGATTGTAATGTATATTACTTAAATTGCTTGAAAACCTTGGTATCATAATTGAATTTGAAGATCCATAATAGGGAAGAATATTCACGAAAAACTCAAAGAAATAAGTTTCAATATCCAAAACTGAAGTTAGTGTTTATTGTTTCTTTATTGTAAGTATCCACAATATCACGATTTTATCAAATTTATTTTTTTACGTGAAATTTTTAGAGTCCTAACTGTTAGCTTATAAGTTAATTAATGAACATATCAAGTGTGGTGAAAAGTTTTCACAGGCACATCAATCAGAGTGTTTGATTTTCCATAATCTTAAAACTATTTTCACAAACAGACAAAAATCCCTGAAAAATAAATAAATAATTTATTTTGAAAGATGGACTTTAGGCTATATGAGGTTTTTCTTAAATTCTATATTAAGAATGTTATCCACAAAGGTATTTGTCAAAATTTTGTCACAAATCAAGAAATAAATCACTTTTATGAATTTAAAAAAATATCAACCCTATACAAAATATATTTCTTAAATAAAATAATAAGTTAATATGTTTTCTATTTTTTTTAAAAAAAACCCTAACAAAGAGACACGTCTTTTTACCTCAAATTAACTGCATGAATATTGATTCTTTAAGAGGGCATATGTAGGCCTTTGGATTTTATTCTAAGTTAAATTCAACTTGTAAATAAACAAATTTTTTTGTTTTTATTTTCTCATATTAAGGATAATTAAGATATATTTTAAGTCAATGTAATTTTTGCATCAACTTGGATAATAACCATTCATATGAATGATATTGTGAAGTGCTTAGCACTTTTTCCAGGCACAATAATTTTAAATATCTTTTTTTTCTTTTATACATATATTAGTTATTAAAGAGGTTTTTAAAATTATCTTTTAAAATTTTGGGAACGCCTCCATCTTTTTTTATCTTAATTTCTCGCTTATGAAAAATAGAGATTATATATAGCACGACAATATTGTGCTTCATTTCTCAAACCTTTTGCAGTGTGCATGAAAACGTGCTTACTTAACAAACAAACAAAAAGCCAAAGGATCTAGTGATAGTGAACAAGCAAATAAATAAATCTTGTTTTTAAAAGAGGAAAACTCACAGGGACTGCTGAAGTGTTCAAGAACGGCTATGAGTTGAAGCTCATCTCGATCCTGAGGACACTTAATAATCCATTTGAGGGCCTTCATTATGGGTGTTGCAGAAACATCTTTTGATGTATCCACTATCACCACTATCCTCTGATGATGAGGTTGATCTCCACCCATGTTCTTCTCTCTGGTTTTTTGGATTATGTGAGCCTGTCTCTGATTTTCCATCATTTTAATCGCGGGAAGTTTCCTTCAGTTTCTGATATAATATATTTGTTGATTAACCTTTCTGTGATAGAAAAGCAGATGCAAAATGATGGTGAATATTTATGAGCATGGAGGGAAGAACAAGGATGTTCGTTTATCATCGATGATAATAAACTTGAGATTCAGACGTCCTTCAATTTAGAGAACAAGGTAATTGCGTCAACCTTCTTTGAATAATAATAATTAATTAATAATTGGCGAATGTTCCTAGGGTTCTAAGTAGATTAACGTTGCTGTCAAAGAGATTTGTTTAACCGTTTCGATTCTTTAATTTCTTTTAGGGGAACTTTGCCTTGGAAAATAAAATAGCTAAACAAGAGGATATATGATTAACTGTGTGACGTGTGATGAGAAACATATTAATCTTTTTTTTTTTTGTATAAGTATCTTTTTGTTGGAGACAAATCAATCTTGTTCGAGGGACTGTGAAGGTTAGACCCAACCTTCATTAGTTATCTTGATCAGTTCATATTTTTCAAGAAACATAACTACATATTTTGAATCAGGTGATCACAGAAGGCTAGCTTGTAGGGTTATTTTTTGCACATATATATCTGAATAAAATTTTAATTTTTTTTTAAAACTTTCAAAAGGATTTATCATCTTTGCTTAAATAATTAAAATAGAGAAGGAAAAAAAACTTACCAATTATAAATTTTAGATCCAATATCTTTAATTCTCTTATTATTTAAATCATATAAAGGTGTTTGCTGGTGACCTTTTGTGATAAAAACGAAAACGTCCTCCTTCTTGTTGCCTCACTTCACTCCCTCTTTGCTAAAAAGTCTTAAAAGAAGCTCTAACCTCCCCATATATAAGGATGTACTGTTAGGTCTTTAAGAGAAAAGACCTAATTTCATTTAAATCTAACAATTAAATTAAATATTTATTTACGAATGATATATATATATATATATATATATCTATATATATATCCCTCAACTCAGAGGGAGATAATATGATATCCTATATCAAAGATAGTAGGTGATATTAGGTTAAAGGAAAACTTCGCCCTTAAATTATAAGTTAATGATGTTTGAAATTCTAACTTTATTTTTTGTGTAATATTTTCTTTTAACTTTTGAAAATAAAAAATGTCACTTTATTAAAAAAAGTTAATTTTGAAAAAATAAAATAACCTCAAAAATTATAAAAAAAATTGAATCAAAAAGTTACAGAAAAGTATCATATAAAAAAAAATTATACCGATTAAGTTCTTTGCATTACAAATAAATATTAAGAGTAAATATTATCTCTTTTACATGTAAAAAGATAAAATTCAATTTTGACTCAGCATTTTCATCTGTTACTGAATGATTACCGGATACCATTATTCGGACCGACAAATGTATGTAACCAAAAAACATAATATACTTTTTTATTTTAATAATATTTTAATATTTAATTTTTTAAATCTTATAATTATTGTTTATAAATATTCCTACAAAATTTATAAATCCTCTTTTAAACATTAGCAGCTCAATTAGTGTATCTAAAATTTATGGGTGTCTGCTTTTTAACGATTCAACTATCATTAGTTGGAAAAGTTCATATATTTTTATATCACGAATATACTAGTTAAGTTATATTTTTTGGAGAAATTGGAAATCTCAAAAATTAATTTGTACACTGTATGTAGTGTGGACATTATGTGTAAAGATTTGTAAATAATAATAATAATAATAATATTCAAATTATTAATATTTTAATAATATTTGTCTTAATATTAACATAAGAAAGAAATAACATTTTTTAATATTTATTTGTAATGTAGGAAACTTAATCGGTATTAGTTTTTTATAAGGTAGTTATTTGTAACTTTTTTTATCTTTTTCTATAAATTTTTAGTCTTTTTAAATTTTTTTAATCAACTAACAATCAAAATTAATATATTTATTAGCGGTGGAAACAGCACTGTATCGTTTTTAAAAAATTAAAAGAAAATATTACACAAATACATTTTAGACTCGTTAGCAATGAGTCCAAATATCTTTTGGTTCAGAAGTCATAAGCTGCTTCTGACTTCTAAGTTGTAACAAGTCATTATAACAATTCAAATTCAAAATATATGAAGAAGACTGTTGGGGTAAAATATTCTCAAAAATACAGATGGAATGCTCATTACTAGCAGACATTCGTTTGTGTATAGACAACATCTACATTAATCCTGAATAAGAAGCAGGAAAATGGTCCCCGTACATGCCAATAATTAAATCCCACATGAGTTCTTGTCAACGACCAATTTCAAATTATCAAGAAAATTAGGAATTTGTTATGAGAAATTAAACAATCACCCTTCGTCACATATTTAGATAAGTAAATAAATGTGTTGATTGATTTTTGTATGAAGTTTTGAATGATAATTTAGATGTTAAATTTTTAATATGCCACTTATTGAGTGCAGGAATTTTTTATTTTTTTTAACTTTGACACGTGACTTTATATTAAAAAGACAAATGTTAACCCATCATACCACCCTTCATTCTCCACTGTGGTTCCACTTTATCAAATTGTATTCTCTTAATTTTAAAACAGCATTTTTATGCTTCGCCACTGCATATGGTTATACTTTTTGACTGTGATTCAATGGATGTGGTACTTTTGCATTGCCAGAGATGTTGCATCTGCGATAGGTGAATCTCAGGTTTTAGTACACTTCATAGAAGAAATAGGATGACTCATGAGTGTATCAAATGCGTATCAATTACAAATATTATCACTCTTATATATAAAAATGATATTCATGTGCGTAAAATGTAATATAATTTATTAGTTTTTAAAAATATAATTTCTCGCTTGAATGAATGTAAAATACAACGAAATCAAATAGGAAAATAATTTCAAACCATGTAAACTTTCAATCCAAACTCACTTGATCAAGAACTCATTGTATCGTATGCATATCGTAACCCTTCTAAAATACAAGCCGTTAACAATTTTTAAAGTAAAATGATGCCCTCCATGAACTAGTTTATCCTGAAGAAAAGAGTCGTTTCAATACAAAATTCTTTTATTTATTTTTTTCGGGGGGGGGGGTGTTGTTTGGCAGAGGATGGCAACAAATCCACCACCAAAAGTTTCATGAAATGGAAGATTATGAAAACCTTAAAACATATGACACAACATCAACGACACTTGTGTTACATTGTACATATTATCCTAATCAATTTTTTCTACCCGAAATGTTTTTACACTGACAAACACAAGTGTAGCTATAGCTGTGAATACAACAATTTACTCCCATGCTTTCCACCCATACCACTAGTAAAACATGCCAGCAGAAACCACAGGTTAGCTCTGCTGCTTCTAATCCACACACCTAAATGCTGGGCACGAATCCATGATGAATAAAGTTAAAGCGCACATGGATTGAGTCAAGTCGGATTTCACAAACTTTCACATCTGTTTACGCTCAATAATTAACTTTACAATTGTGTAAAATGACGTTGCAATCATCCGTCACTAGATTATAATCAAGTCAATTCATCAAGCTTTCTTGTTCCCATCATTCAAAGCATACGAACACTTTAGCGCCTGCAATGTCGCTCGGACTACCTTTCAAATTCTTCCAAACCCAGGAAAGTGTATCTCTGGAACTCGCCTTTGGGATGGCAAAATGTGGTTTGTTTTGTTGGGAGTACCTTATTTCCGGCTTCATCTGTACGAATTTCAAGGCCACAGGCATTGCAGATAGATTCCAAATCAGATTCCTGTCAAAGTGAACTAGCCATCAGTTATGAATACTTTCCTAAGATCAGGATAACCTTGGAAATGTGCGGAGTAACTTTTTTTGTTCCTTGAAAAAAAAAAAAAAAAAGTTTGTGATGTAATGCTCAGGTATGCTTATAATAAACATCGCCTTGCATTCTTTTCATTGGAGGAATGCTGCATCTAAACTTCATCTTGTGAACCCTCTTATTAGGTTTTGGATCCTTCATATTCAATACAGAGTGGCTAGAAAGAGAACAAGTGGATTCCATGTACATTTCAAAACCATTTACTTTCCTAGAAATATAGCTCATTAGGATTTCAATCTCTATTATTAGCTTCTGGTAAAATAAAAAAACAAAAAATCTCTATTGCTAGCTACTTTGTTCACGCAGAATGCCAATCACATGATTCATGGAGATCTTTTGTTTTGTTTTCTAAAAACACGTTCTTCTGCAAGGGCCACTAAGATGTTTTACAAAATTGAAGGAGAACCTCAGTCTATTGCAGTCAACAAAATCCATACCTTCATCCTCAAGAGTACTGAAAGGTCGAGCAGAGGATATGGATGAAGTTTGTAACCACCAAAGTTTATACATGCCAATGCCAGCACACGAACCTTTAGCAATAATATATATACATGCACAAACGAAACCCTTATCATAATCATAATATAGTTTGATAATAAAGATAAATCGCAAAGCACTGATACGAAACGTTAGAAAAGAAAGTTCAATAAATTACTAGCCATTAGCCAAGACTTTTGGGAAAAATATTCTTGGTAAAACAGATAGAATACTCATCGATAGCAGACATAAGTTATTTCTGTGCAAAGACAATATCTACAACTCTGTAACATGGGAAGCAGAAAAGTTGCTGGATGTGCCAGTAATGATCCCACCATATTACCCTTCTTTCTCTGAATCTCTGCTAAGTTTCCATTTCATCCCAAAAAAAAAAAATAATAATAACATCATCTCTAAATTTCAAGTTTTTTTAAACTTTCCTTTCATCCTTAAGTTGAGAGGAGATCCAGCTAATTATGACACAGAAGAAAGGATTAAAGTACCCAACTACCCAAGGACAATATATTCAAGGTGAACTTTCCAAAGGACATAGCAGGAATGTGCAAGTATTTTTTTTAGAGAAAGATCTTTGGCACAATAAAGTTTCTCTAAAAACAGCCTTTTATCATGGGCCACGACATGTGGTCTGTATTCGTACAAAGAACATTATATGATAATAACTGGCTGTAATCCAATGGATGTAGTACTTTTGCTTATAGACTGGTGATTCATTAGTAAATTATAATATCGCTAAGAGTTGTTTTGACCAGTTGACATGCTTGCATCTGCGCTAGATGAATGAGGAGTGTGTTTTTGGTAGAAAAACTGAAGTACCATGCCCTTAAATTAAATTACTATACCTGTCTTTCTTCTTCAATTTGTTAGTTCACTTGAGCTTGCATATTTTAGCTACTGCTATTGACATGATTTTCAAGGGGATGAGATGGGGGAGGGTTGCCATAGAAAATGCTAATATTCAAGGGCAAGAGCGCTAAAATCTCATACTACAGGAAATATTTGCCAAGAAAACCAATATGTATAAAACATGCAGACAAGGAAACTGATAGAGCCCGTTATTTTCCTAAGACATACGAGGAAGTCAAAGGCAATGAATGACTCGAGTGGAAATACTTTGACTGGTCCAGATGTTTATCCTTCGGTGCCTGGCTGTAAGGACAGTAACTTGTGATTGTGTTAGAATCTTTTGGGCAGTATGGGATGTGTATAAGCCATGCTGTGAGTATTAGTAGTCTTTTGTTTGGAAGGGGAAAATTATGTCTTTTGTAATGGAATTGTGACGAGAGTCTGGCCCCTCAAATGCCAGAAGCAGTGAGACCACTGTGTGTGTGTTCTGTTGTTGTTATCGCTGTATTTTGATCACTAAGGGGAGATAGGGTTTTGGCAGAATCAGTGAGTGTCAATGTGACACTGATTCGGTTCTCCTTTGGTTCATTAATATCAAAATATCAGGATTTTCCCCTCATTTAGTGCTGTTACTGTCTTTCTGCATTTAATATTGCATTTTCTGGTTTGGTTCTCATTAGAAACAGTCGAACACAGTTATGACAGAATACTAACGAAATCATAATAGTCTAGATGCAGTAATTACTTCATTAATATAAGGCTCCACGATGCAGTACTGCAGGTATGACACTTGAGCTGCAGTGGTACACAGGAAATGCTTATAATTTCCGATACGAAAAGATCTGTCAAGAGACAAGATAATATCCTTCAATTTACACGCATGAAAAACTAGAAAGACATTTAAATAGTAATTCTTAAAATCAATGGATGGCATGGAGAAAATGATACCGCAAAATTCTCCTAGCAAAGCACATTTCTTTTGACTTCAATACTGAAGTAGAAAGACGGCCAAACCACAGAGAAAGTGAATCCTCCTATGGATAAGAAATAATTAAATTTTACAACTTAGGATACAATAGAAGGCTGTAATTATGAAGGTAAGAAAAACAATGCATCACGCCAATGATATAGAGATTAACTGTTGGTTTGCTGCAAGAACCAAGATGAAGAAGCACATATAACGAACGGAACTCAGCTTCATTTTCAGATAAATTATTTGAACTCTGATTTGCATCATACAAACCAAATAGAGATGTCAAAGTCTTAGTGAGCTGTTCCATGTTGAGATGATGCATTGATGCAATAATTGGATTGCCCATACAAGAACGAAGTTTGTAATGTGATATGACATGAAATTTCACCTGCAACGTTATATGCATTAATCAGAATATGATCTAAATTAGCTTCAAAAAGCTTTGAAACACAAATCTATCATTTCCAAATAACATATAAGTAAGTCCATGCCTTGACAAGAATTATGCCCCAAAATACACTATTAAATCATAGTGCCAAAATGTAGTCTAAATGCTACTTTCAGGCAAGAATGTATTCTGCCAAATAGACAGCCGTTTTGAATTAGATTAACTCAACCTCACTGGTTCTGGATCCTCATTTGGATGATATGGATTTTTTATTTTTTTTGGGGTGTAAAGAGAGCAAAATTGAAGGATTACGCAGTATCTTTGGGGAGTTGTAGAGAAAATAAAATGCGCATCCAATATCCACTCTTTCATTTCCCCCATTTTGCCAATTTTGGGAAGGTTACCTAGTATACCTTCAGTGCCGCACTCACCTTCACCTTCCCCTACCCCTCCAAAAAAAAAAATCAATCCCCTTTCAACTTCCAAACAAATAATAATTGGAGAGGAGATGGAATTAGTAGCAAAATTATTTCCAGTGATGATAACACTAGCTAAACCTGAAGTTGGTAAAATTTTGAATTTAAAGGGGGAAAAACTGATGCCACTCAAGTCAAATAATGAAGAGAAAACTTATATTTTGTATTATGAAATTAATGACCGAAAATAATGAAAAGATACGTAGCTTGAGTCAAATATATTGTAAAGATAAACCATACCATTTTCTCATACATGCTGACAGCTCTTTCATTTGCAATACTTTGCCTAGTAAGGTCTTGTCTTATCGACCTTGTCCTATCAAATACAAAGTCGTGAACCACTTCAAATGGATGCTCATTAGAATCCAACAAGTTCAAAAGGTAATTTAAAGTGTCTTCCAATACAGGAAGCGGCCGTACATCAGATGGCTGCATATTTTTTGTGGATATGGTTCTGCAAAACTAACAGGTGAAATGGATGATAAAAAGTTGCAAAACTGATACATGTTGATTAACAGAGAGAGGAACACAATGACATTAATGTAGAGAGTACACTTTCCAAGAAGAAACTTTACATTATAATTAATTATACTGCAAAATATTGAAAAAGCAGCTATATATCAAAATGCAGCTTGCTTGACTATTAAGCATCAACCATGTGAGTAACAATGAAAAGAAATTTCAGAAATACACTATATTCGTATGTTATACAAAAGATATCAATTGGTAGGTGCTACAAAATAAGATTTCCACTAACGACCTGCCACATACTAGAAACGGCGATAAACATCATCTTCTCATATATATATATATATATATATCATTTGTTTCCAGTCTTCCAGGATTCCTTGTCTTAGCAACAGCTTTAAGCTTTGCAGAAGGGGGGGGGAAGCAATAGCTTTAAATATCTAGGTAAGTCATTTCATATCTTCTTGGCTGACCCTGTGGTTCACCAACAAAATTGTCTGGGATTTGTGAGTTTTACAATGATCAGGCGTTGTTTGTAGAGAAACACATTTCTTGGCTTTTTTGCCCTTCGTACTTCAATCAGTGCAAAACAAACTAAAATTGTAAGTGGGACTAGTAAGATTGGTACTAATGGTTAATTTATAGCAATTCCACTGAAAGACACTCTATGGGAATGGAGAGCCTGCTTTAGTATAATAATTTAAAAAAAAAAACATTTAGTTTCCTTATTTATTTATCACACCATTTTAAATGTACACTTCATCATCAACCTTGGACAAGTACTCTCTTCTACTCTTCCTCTTTTTATTTTTTTTATTTAATACTCAACTTTCCTGTTTCACAATAAAATACAATATACTACGTTTTTATACAAAATGGAAGCTTCTCACAAAACAAAATTAGCAACAAAAATAGCTTAAAAAGTTAAAATACAGATCGTTAAGTTTTTGCTGTATACTGTAGTTTATCTATAAACATAAGCAATTCTTGTATTAGTCTGTCTTGAACTGTATAACAACCCTAGCTCCTAACTTCCTACTATTAATCAGCCTAAACTGGTAGAAATGAGAAAAATAGCAACATTTTTTAACAAAATTAGAAACATTGATTTACAACATAAAGCCCTAATATTTCAGTACCCTGAAAATGAAGTGGTATCAGGAAAAAATAATAGGAACTTTATTCAGCATGATGCTTGGGAGTATTAACCCTTTAGAAAGTAGATATAGGTGTAATCAAGATGGTAAAACCAGATAACAATGGGATTATACAGTTTGGTCTTACCTTTTTTACTGCAAGGTCAGGGGATGACTTTCCATGATTACCATTGAGCCTCTCAAAGACGGCCAAATCCCGTAGTTGCTCACGCTGGATCCTCTCTCTTTCTGTTAAAGTGAAAACCTTAGTATATAAAGATCTTAGGGGGGAAAAAACAAGGCTTGGGGGAAATACCAAAAACTCTACACCATTGAATGCCAATAATTGGTTTGGGGGAAATTTCAATTTTCATTGTTTCACCCTCTTGATGATTTATTCACAAAGGCAATTCATCTTCCCTGCTATAAACTGATGACTGTGTACCCAAGGACCATCTATATTAAGGCACATCTATGATTTATGATCCTCAAGATTTGCAGAATGAGTCTGTCATGAACATGTTTTATTTTAAAATGGACCCGGACCATGTTTTATTTATGATCCTCAAGAGTTGCAACTTATGGGGAATCAGCTTCATCAATTGGGCCTATGAGGAATTTTTAGGTATAAAGTTGCTACTAGGGTAGAGGTTGAGGGTGTAGTAGTTTTTTCTGGCTATTTCCCCACCTAGCAGGATAAGGCTTCTTGTTGTATTTCCCGCAGTAGGATGCCTTCCTTTCCCTCTGCTATAGCTTCTTCTTTCCATCTGCTATATTTCTCGTTCTGTATTTGATTTAAGTTGCTGTAGTTGTCTATTTTGACTTGATAGCCGTGATTATTTCCCCTTTTATCTTGTTTGAGAAGGATAATACGGTGAGATTCTTCCATTTTTTCCTGCATTCTTCGTTATTTATGTTGACTCAGTGAGGGTGATCGTGACAGAGACCTTAATAGCTAATTAGAATACAGCACACATTGTACATAAAACCGCACCTAGAGAGACAGCTAGTGCATCATGGGAAGTTAAAAATATGCTGCAGGTCAATCATATAAATATAAGGTCATAATGAGCGCGCAGAAGAACTGGGAAAATTTCTGACAAAAGGAGCCGTTACCATGTTTGTTTAAACCCAATGTTATCATAATTTGGATTTCATGCTCATCTTTAATCTAGTTATTATCACTCGCACTAAAGAAAATTCTGTAAACAACCTTGATGGATTTCTTAGAGCATCTTGCATCACCATCTTGTGATTAATTTTAAATAAAAAGGAAATTGCACATAAATGCGCTTCAATGACAAAATTCAGCACTACTAGCTACTAAAAAATAACAATTTATTATCAGCCCGACAACGGGTTTGAATTTCTTAGATTTTACCTGGGCACATATGAGGACAAGTTCCAACCAGTGATCCAGAGTAGGAAGGCCCTTCAACATGCACTTCCTCATCTCGAGGAAGCTTTCTGGAATTCAAGTTACGGTCAAGACCCGAATTTGAGACATAAGCTGCGGTCGGAGTTCTCCTTTCAGAGAAGTTCCTAGGTTTGGGGTTTTGGGTGGCATTAGCTGGAAATTTCTGGCCGCGAGGACGCTGTGATCTGGAGAAAGATGCAGCAGAAGAAGGAGCATTTCGATTCCAAGGTCGGCGATTCTCCATGATCTCTTGCTCACTACTTGGTGACTAGTTGACCATCCCACTTGATTTGCGTTACTTACGCATCTAAGCACAAGGGTTCTGTACTTGGGATGCAAGGCAGCGATGAAACCTGAGCGTGTCACTGAGTATGAGACGCTTTTTCTTTTCTTTATCTTTTTCTAAAAGAAATTATTTAATTTAAAAAAAAAAAAACCGTGATAGTTGAATTGATAGTGTTGTTGTTGTGTTGTCTCTTATCAGAGACATAAAAGATGTATAGTTTTTTATTTAAAAATAATTAAATTTGTAGTTTACATATATTATATTTATAATTATAATATATCTAATTAAATATTTTGCATGAAAAATAGAGGTCACCTTGCCTGGAAAACAAAAAAATCAATTAGAAAACTGTAATAAAACCAAAACCATTTGGGACGCGCATGTCTTGTCTGCATCAATGCGTATAAGAGGTATTCTTACTCCGTCTAATAATAAGATACTTTTAATTAAAATTTACTTTTTAATAAAATAATTATTTAAACATGATTTTTTTATATTTATTCTTATTTAATTAGATATTTCTGAGTATCTTTAAAAAATTATACATTAATTATATCTTTAAATGTTAAAAATAACTCTTTAAAAATATTTTATTTTTTTAAGAGTGAAAGAGTACCCTCTTATTATTTATTAAAAACAAATACCATTTATTTAATTAAATAGTTATGGTGGCGATTATCAAAAGAGGGAACGCTTGTATAACTACCTAAAATTTCTAGTGTGAAATGTAAGGGTGCTTTTTGACATTCTGTTTATGATAAAAAAATATTACTTCCTCTGCTTCCCTCTTCCTCTCTCTCCAAGGTATATTTAAGAGAAGCTTCATCATTAATATCTGAGGTATAAATTCCTATTCCTATTGGTCTAAAAAGTACAAGTCTCCTAGTTTTTTTTTTTTAAATCATGAACAACTATCTAAATACTAAAATAACTTCGGCTATGTATTTTTAATGTATAAAATAATTGAATATTATTTATAACAAATCAACTAGGAGGCATAAGTTTAACGAGTCAATCATCAAATAATACGTTCAGTATTAATTTGTTGTCTATGAATAGACGGATCTTGGATTAAACTATTGTGGACAGAAAATTTGAAAATTGCGATGTTTATTTAAATAAAATAGCTCAGTTAAAAAAGTATAGTGGGCATTTTCATGCATAATAGCTTGGTTTAAAAAAGAAAAGCATATGATCTATTTGAGATTTGAGATGTAATGGAATGAAATAAACTGAAGAGAAAAGGTAGGTCACCGTGATGGATCTATTTGCCATAATATAAATTGACAATGCTTCTTGCCTGCATCTCATCCTAGTTTGAACAATATACTATTTCTTGTTATATACAAGTATTCTCTTATTAAAAATAATCTTGTTTAAAATATTATTGAACACTAAATGTAAATATATTTTTCAATGAATTGATTTGTAATATTGTGAGAAACTAGCTTGTTTCGCTTAATTCAACTCACATTGATTGCTATTTCATTCATGTTATTTTATTCCCACCTGCCCTATTTGCCCCAATTTGATCGGGTCAGGTTGGGCTTGGCCTATTGAATGAGTAGAATTTTTATACAACATTGCTCTTCAACTATCTTTTTCATTATAGTGCATCTTTGACATCGTTTAAAAAATCTTACCAACATGCGCGATTTATTGTTTAGATGGGAAAAAAATAGGAAATTCGCTTTGTTTGGATTGACAGGAGAAAAAGTGAGAAAAAATGTGAAAAAGAGAAAAGTATGAAAATAAATTTCTAAAAATAATATACTTGTTCATTATTTTTAAGAGTTTTTTCTTCTATCCAATTTTCCTTCCTCTTTATTTTTCTTTCCATCTAAACCAAGGATGAGAGGTGAAAGAAGCTCAAAATTTGATTGAAAGTGGGTCAATTTGAAGGATATATTTTAGACAAATAGTGATATTCCCCCCTTAAGTATAATGGCATTTATCTAGATTTAGAAAGGAGACACCATTCCTGTATATATATATATATATATATATGTTTTTTTTATAGGAAAAAAAATTAGGTAAGTTGAGTTAAAAGAGTTCAACTTGTCAACAAGCATGCTTCTATAGCTTCAAAGAAAAATATAGAAGTACTCCCTCCGGTCCCATTTATAAGTCCCATTTTAGAAGGTGTATTTGATCTCATTTATAAGTCATGGTGCATCTTTTTAGGTAATATTTGAGAGGTATTTCCAAAATTACCCTTCATGAGAGAGAAAAAATAATAGGACATTACTTTTTAGATTTATTATATAGGGGCATGTTTGGAATTTTACTTACTTTTATTTCTTATACTTTTATTATATTGGTATTGATGAAGTTGGTAGAAATGACTTATAAATAAGACCGGAGGAGTACTTATTAAATTGCGCATCAACTAGGATTTCAATTTGCACGTGTCATCCTTGCATAGAAGCCATGTTAATCTTTTTTGTATCATTCCAATTTTATCGAATATCTCCAATGGTACTCATCAACTGGCTAGGATATTAAACATATTGTTGGGACAAAAAAATTGTGAGCCACCAATGACTAAGTGGTGGGAACGTACGTAAAGCAAATTCTCATTCTTAGCTTCTCAAATAAAAAAAAAAAAAAACAGACAAACAAACGTGCCCATATTAATTCCCAACAATAGCACAGGAAAATTCATCATGGCCTTGGTGGCTTGATTCTCATAAATTATCTGGTCTCCTTTAAGTTCTAGACGTACGGTTTATTATGTAAAATTATAATGTAGAAAATATTAAACTTGAACATCCCAAACTCTTATTAGAACCATGCAAAGTTTGATTTGCACGAGAAAAAGAAGCGGGCGCAAATGAGTGGAAGCATAATTATTTTATAATAAATAGCTCGGGTAAGTTAAGTTTTTAAAATTTCATTTCAAAAATTTCCATTAGCAAAGTACTTACATTACATCATAATGAGGATAAAGTCCATGCCCCTTATGGGTATAAAAACAATATTTAAAAAAATTAAAAAATTTATTAATCATAATTAAGTAAAACTTTTTGTGAGTATTTGTGTTCCACTTTATTAATTATAGGGGTAATTAAATTGCAGACAGTTTACCAACAAGGTTACATCTTACAAAAGTGGCTAGTTTTTGAGAATACAGTGAACTAATATTTAAATGTTTATCATAAGAAATATTTACATTTAATATTTAAGCATGCCAAGAACATGATTATTTTTAATAAAAAAAATTTGTGGGCTATGTATGTAAAAAGCATAATCCTCGCATCATAAGTATCCTTGTGTTCCCTTAATTCTTCTTCCCAAACAACAAAAACAAAAAAAAAACCAGCATGCTTCGCATTTTTTTGGTCAAAAAAGCATGCTTCCCATTGAAATTAATATATTTGTTATATTCTAAAGAATTCTTCCGAGGAGAGAGGATGGGGATCATGTGACATAGGGGAGAGAGTACTTGGGGTAGTAAATATGTAATAGTTCTGGGAAATTGCACTGTAAGCTCTCAAAACTAATATATTTACATTAAAAGTTTAACAAAATTTAAAATAATTCTACAAATCTAAAAAGCTATGTTTGGTTTGGGAGGGAAGTGGAGGAGAGAGGAGCATCATGTGTTTGTTTGACAATTTATTTTCAGAATAGTTTTTTATTCTCCAAAACAACAAAACAATAAAAATATATTTAATAATGTAATTTTAAAAACTGTTTTAGAAAATAAAAAAATAAAATATTATTATGGAGAATAGAAAAATGGAACATCTTTTAAATGTTGTAGAATTATTATTTTAAAAAATAAGAGAGAATGAGAAAAACACTTATTTTTTTCTGTTTTCAGAACATGTTTTATAAATCACTAATTCTCATAATAATAAAATAAAAATAATTTCAAACATGCCCAATGTTTTTGTGTTATTTTATTTGGTTTTGTTGGAGAGGACAAGGGAGGAGAGGAGAAATATTTTTAATAATTTTTTATTTGGTTTAAAAGTAGAGTATGTTTAGTTTAGAAAGAAAAGGAAGGGAAAGTAATAACTCATTTCTATTATAATCATATATAATATTGTCCATGCCCATTATAGTAGCAAGAAACTATGAAAAAAATGAGCAACTTCACAAAAGAGGGCCCAGGAGTTAAAGATGGCTAAAATATTTTTTTTTGGAAAAAAAATAAAAAATATCTGGTATAATTAGGCTTTACATTCATGCTTTCAAGTTTTCATCTGAGTATAAAAGAATAATCTCTTCCTCAACCCATGATCCTCCGTGTCCGCCGCGTTTTCATCGTACTTTGACTCACCTCGCGGCACCCTCACTTTCCCTCTCTTAGCTCCTCACCAAGGTACTTCTTATGGCTTTATTTATAAATTTTTTTAACATGTTTATTAAAATTAAAAAAAATTAAATTTTATTAACTTTATCTTAAAATTAACATATTTTTACCTTTATTTTTAATAAATATTTTTAACTTTTATTATTAATATTTTTATTTAAAGCATTTAATAAAAGTATAAATGTAGAAAAGAGTAACAAAAACTAGCAAATGTCTAATAAATAGGAGTAAATTGTTTTTTTTTCTCTTGATTTATAAATAAAATTAGAGAAGCACTATATTATGACATCTAATTTTTGCTACTGGCTAAGCTGTTGTTTTGGTCTGTGAAGTGAAGGAGTCCAATAGGCAATGATTGTCATAGTGGAGGAGTGCTATGAAGAAAAAAGTTAGTTAGAATAAGGGCCAAATTGTCTGAAATTTTAACTCCTCCAAAAAATAAAAATCCCATGTTGGAGCGTAACAATATTCCTTCAAAATTTCTTAATCAAGTGAGAGATTTTCCAAAAACTCCCAATCAAACACATCCAAAACCTCTATTCTAATTAAGTTTTTCAGTGAAAAGAGGGAATTATCTCTTTGTAAAATACATAACAAAATATCTATAAATAATATTAAAAGTTTATTTATTAATATCAAAATGTTTGTTTATTTCATATATAGTCCACATGGTTTATATTTGTTGAAAAAGAAGAAATTTATAAGTTATCTAAATAACATTTACAACAAAAACTTTGAAAATAGCATTCAAAAGTCCATTTATCAACAATAAAACATCCATCTAATCCACGTAGTTTATATTTGAAGGAAAGAAAATTTACAAGTTACCTTAATGAAATTTAAACATAAACTCTATTAATAATATTTAAAATTCATTTATTTACAGCAAGCATTCATTTATTTTATATAATCCATGTGATTTACACTTGTTGCAGGAGATAAAATATACAAGTTATTCATATAAAATTTACAACAGAATATCTATAAATAACAATCAAAATCTATTTATTTTTAACAAAAGGTCTGTTTATTTTATAAAGCAGTAATTTTATCTTTTCTAAAAAGAATTTAATTGTAAGAGAAGTCTTTAAACCTGCTCAATTATTTCAATTCTATTGAGACTTTAATGTAAATATATTGGTTCTCGGGGCTTACAATGCATTTCTCCCTTAATTCTATGAGTAAATTACTTTATAAATAAAAAATTTAGCTATAATAATCGAAATAACAAAAATTTAAAACTTTAACACCATTGAGTTGTAGTAATTTCTAATTCCCACAAGAGTCTTACTATGATTCGCCCACCGCAGGCTTGGTAAATGAGGGCTTACAAAAACAGAAGCTTTTATTTAGTTAATGGAGTCGTTTAATTTATTAAAAAAGCAAAAGCTATTTCTTCTTCCTCCTAGGTCCTAGCAATAAGTAAATTCGAAGAGGATAGTTAAGAATTTTTTATTATAAAATTATTAATTTCAATATTATAAAAATTGGACTTCCCATATTGAGCTAGTCAATACATGATTCATGATTCAATGACATCTATGAAGGTCAGTGACAGAACCAGAAAAATGAATTAGTGAGACATAATTTATAATTAAAATAAATATTTATGTTTATTTAAAATTATTTTAAAATACTTATAAAATTATATTAAGGATATAACATAATAAAATCAAATACTAAAAAAATGGGTAAAATATAAAATTATAATAAAAAATATAATGGGATAAATTTTGTAATCTTTTTGGTCGGGAAAGAAAGAAATTTTTGAATGGGGGGCATATAAATTTTTTTTGGATCTTATTATGTAATATTTTCTTAATTTGTGGGGCCAATTGCACCCTCTAGATCTAATGACCTTGGTGAAGGGATGAGATCTTTTTTATTAAATAAATGAAAAAAAATTAGTAATTAATTAACAAAAAAATAATTCAGTTTAGCCCTTTCATCATGGGGTGAAGTTTCAGAATTATTAGATTCTAAATCATAAATATTTGTGACCAACTGTCCTTGAAGGTATTCATGGAAACGACTTTCAAGTTTCAATATACAACGAATTTAGTTAGTGTTTGTTTGGAGGGATTACATAAGTGTAATTAAATTGACCGCAAATATTAAATGCTGGCAGTGAGGTTCTAGCCATTGCCTCCTGGAGTGATGAACTTTTTTTATAATTTTATTCTATTGTTCTCAGTCCTTTAATTTAATTTATCTATAACGTTAGCTCTTGTAATTTTAAAAATACACAAAAGGAGCATTAATTGGTATAGACGGAGTTAATTTTGATGGCATGTATTTAACCCTTTGTTTACCTATACTTAATCTTACATTCATCTTTCATTTATCTCCTTTTTTAATCATATCTGATCAATTTATTTTCATGTCATTAACATATTTTTAACCATATCAAGGTTAACAAAGTTATAGGAAATTACTATGATAAGTTCCACCTCGTGGTCTTTATGTATATTGTTACAACTATAGGGATTGATATTGCAAACTAATCAAATTAAAGGGATTGAAAACAATAAAATAAGTCTATAAAGACTAAAAATTAAACAAGCACTAGTACATAAAAGGCTATCTAAACCATTTATAAAGGCCTATCCAAACCAATTTTATAACTAGCTTAGATATGAACATGGTTGTTTAATTGCTTTAGAAAATTGACCCAGAACAAGAAGGAAAAAAAAAAAGAAAATCATCTTCTAAACTAGGGGTACCTTGCAGGGCTAGTACAACTCTGGTCGATCAACTCACTTCATATCCATTCCTGCGTGGTTAGTCTCGCTGCTTCTTTAGTTGTCGCCCCCTGCTTGCTCATAATGAACTAGAATTTCCCCCCTCTTTTTTTACATCGATTAATCTAAATGTTCGTTTGGTTTATTTACAATCCTCTATTATTTAAGGCAATTTTTTTCTTGTAACCAGCAAATAAAAAATAGTCAGTCCAATCAAGCACAATATAATATAATCAAATAATAAATATAAAATAAATTAATTGAAATAATATTCAATTCAAAAACCAATCAAACTAAAAATTGCTTTATAAAATACCATATAGTACCCCATATGAAGTTTTATAAAAAAGCTCTATCCACCCTTTGTTGACCTCATTAATATCCTTCTCAAGAAATGGTTTAGTAAGCTTGAATATCTAAAAAGTGAAAAACTAAAATATTAGTAAATTTCAAATGAAGGAGAAAAAAAATCAAAATAGGAAACCAAATTAATGCATTTTTCTCTAAAGTGAATGAAGTCATGCCATGTTTGATGATGTTAAAAACGTTCCATATGACATACAAGCAACATAATTGAGATTTCTTCAATTGTCTATGGCTCTAAAATAGAATAGCAAAATGAGTATTTTAAAAAATTAAATAGGTTTATCTTTAAAAAAAAATATGCTCTTACATTTAACGTGATCCATATAGGGTTTTTGTTGATCTCATAGGTGTGCTTCCCTAATTTGACATGTCAATGTGTCCTCATAACTCTATTATCAACATTACAAACTCAACAATTATTAATAAACATGATAAATGATATTTTATAGCAAATGGATACTTGGTCCACTGTTCTTGAAATCCTCCCCTACTTTATAGTGAAGGGAGTACTATTAGCTTGGGCATTCCTTTTAGCAAAGTCCAAAAACCCTTTTATCACATTATCATATTGTTTGGTATATCATTTAGCATATCTAACTTCAATCTATAGTTAATTAAATTCTTAAAATGGAACAAAGTTAAAAGATTATTATTGTTCATTCTCATAATTTTCAATTTAAGTTAAAAATTTTTTATTTTTTAAAGAAAACTGAAAAATATTTTTTAAACTTAGCTTCCTTCCTATCTAATAGGTAGGAAGAAGGAAGCCAACTCTATTTTATTTGGCCCTTTCCATATATAGAGAGAAAGTGGCCAAATGATAAATTTAAAAAAAAAATCATAGAAACTCTCTTAGGAGTTAAACTTTTCAATAACTTTACAGTTAAAAATGCCATCAAGATTACATAAAATAAACCAGTCATATGAGTATAATAATTCAATTTAAAAGTCATAGAGAATTCAATGTTTAACCCAATCACATTTGAGCTAACAACAATCCCTAACAAATTTAACAATTAGCCATGCAATCCCTAAAAATTAAACAATAATTTCATTATAAAATTACAAGTTTATAGAAATTTTGATAAAGTTCTACCTAGAAATTGACTTCCCTAGCATTTAAACTACACCAAAATGCGATTCAAAACTCATAATCTAGAATTCAAATTTATTCAATAACAATCCCAAGTATTTTAGCAGCAATAATTAAAGACTATACATAATTCCAGTTAGAAATAGAATTCAAGTTTTAACCAAGTTAAACTATGATCAGGAGCAAGTTAAAATAAAATTTCAACTCAACCAACAATAATCCCAAACATTATAGTCTATAATTTAAGCAATTTAAATTAATTTTTTTTTAAAAAAAAAACCTAAAGGTTGAAGGCAGAAAAAAGATACGAGAAGAGGAATCGAAGGCACGAGTAAGCCGCAAAGTGACTGGTGCATATAGATTCAGAGAAACAACTTAAAAAATCAAGCTCCATAGATAATATTGAGAAACACAAACAAATCCAGGTGCAGACACCTCCTATTATATTTTTTCTTTATTATAGTAATGAAGAAAATTTTAGTAATTAACTAAGTATAAAAATTAATTCGATTTATTCTTTTTATAATGCAACAAGTTGCAGTATTATTTGATTCTAAATAACTTTCAAATTTACAACGCACTTAGCTAGTGTTTGTTTGGAGGGATTTCAATTACATAGAAACAAAAATTTCCCAAACATAGGTGAGGAAAGGAAAATAAAATACCAAAGAGAGTTAGATAGGAACGTCACGGTACGTGTTAGGTGCAAACAATCCAAATCCAACAAACAAACCCGAGAGAGTCATCGCGCGGACGCGCAACGCGCGCACTCAAAAAAATATCTTCCTTCTTCTTGGGTCTATAAGTAATCCATTTTCCCCATCACATTCACGCCAAGCAACAGGCACATCTCTCTCTCTTTCTCTCTCCACTCTCTGTGTTCGTTTTGCCTTCCCACTCTTTCTCTCTCTATAACGTCTTCGGACTCAATTCGATCGTCATTGTATGGCCGCCAATTCCAAGTGCCGAGGCATCACCAGCTTGGGGAAACGAGTTGCCAACCAGATCTGGACTCACAACTCGCCTCTCAGAACTCACGCTCTTCCTTCCTCTTCCTCTTCCTCTGCTCTCGCTCTCAGGTATTTCAATTTCTCTCCCATAGCTGCATTTGGAAGAACATAGCTGCACTTTGGCTTCAGCTTCTTTGGTTTGTTTGGTGATTGTTTTGCTTGCTCCATAGATGGTTGTTGTTAGATTCTGTTTTCAGCTTGTTCTACTTATTTTCGGTGATATTGTGTAGATAGAAAGTACTTCGTACAGCTATGGCTTATGCTTTAGTTGTTTTGGTGATTGTTTTGCTTGCTGTGAAGATGGTTCTTGTTGGATTCTGTTTTCAGTTTGTTCTGCTTACTTTTGGTGATACACTTTGTATAGCCATGACTTCAGATCATTATTCCCGTGTGCTTCTTCGATTGTTTCCTGGGAGGCTGGGAAAATACTTCTTATTAGATTGTCCTTTTCAGTTTGTTTTGCTAGTTTTTGGCGATATCCTGTAGAGCACGTTATAAATTTATTCTTGAAAGTTGAATTGGTACTCACCTGGAGAAGATGGTTTGAGCTTCCGGGCTTTTAGATTGCGTTCTTTTTTTTGGGTGATATTATGCAGTGTACTGTGTGCGTGGATTTAGTATTTTTAAATACTTCCCAGGTCCAAATTCTGCGCTGGTTGCATCACAAATACTATTTTTTTTTTTTTTGGCCGATCACAAATGCTAAATTTAGTCCTGAATGATTTTTATCTTACTCTTCTTAAAAGTAGATTTTAACCCTGTAGGCTGTATTAAATAAAGAAGAAAACAAAATTACATGCCGTCAGCTCAAGATGTATCACGCAGTGCACTATAATTAACTCCGTTTAGTATTATTTGACGTGTTTAATAAGTTACACTCTTGATGAATTAATTAAATATCTTTAAAATTATATCCTGTTTCATATTTAATTTTATTTAATAAGATGTCTCAATTTAAAAGTCGTATTGTATCGCTGAAGGATTTTTTTTAAAAAAAAATTATTAATTGCATTTTGAAAAATCATCATGAAACTACCTTGAATTTTTTAATATTATATATTGAACATAGGAAGGAGGGAGTAAAGTAGTGGCTTCAATTAGAGACATATAGTCTTTTTTTATCCGGGTTATCTCAGAAAATTTGTTGTGTCAGTAATTTCATCAGCTTTATTTGGATTTGTCACTCATGTAGTTGATGATTTTAGCTGGTTGCTTTTCAGTTTATATTTGTTTTTGGTGATATTTTAATGTAGATCACATAAGTTTTTCTGTTCTTAGTAGCATCCCTGAATAGGAAAATGTGTTCTTAAAATAATTTTCCAGCAGTTTCACTATGTTGGGGTAAGAGATAATTATTAATAAGCACTTAAGTTAGGAGACATTCTCTGATTTTGATGATTTTTTAAGATTCAACTTACCTAATTTTTTTTATTAGATAAAAAGAATAGTTCATAACAACATCAATTTGCAATACATTTTTCTTGATTTTCATTATAAATTTTTCTCGTAAATATTATTTTATTTTTTTGGTTCTGCGTGTGTCGTTATAAAAATTCGCTAAGTCATCATTTTCTAATATCTTGAAGAATTTTATCTTTGACTTCTTGCCGAGGAATTTTTTTCCCATGAAAAATTAAATCAACAAAATAGAACAATGAACAAAATCTTTTTCCAAAGAATCTTGTTCCTTGATTATGGAGTCATTTTGTCGTTTTGGGATAAATATATAGGCTTATTCCTTGTACTGTCAAGTATACGAACTGGGAAATTATTCTTTTCTTATCTATTTTTGCTTTTTCTCTTTTTTCTTTCTGCCCTTCTTTTTTATTCTTTTATTAAAATCTGAATGAGTTCCCATACTTTATTTTTGGGCCAGTCACCTTCAATAATTGATATGCTTGGAATTGGGTCTGTGTCCTTTCAATTTTCTGTCAATTTTAAAAAAAATAAATGAAATAGTTAAGATTCATTTAAATTAAAAATTATACATATATTTATTTTTAAATTAGCAAAAATTAGAAAGCAAGAAACAAAGAAAGAAAGGCCTAGAGGCGATTATTCTCTCTCTCTCTTAAGCCCTTCGTGAGTTAGGGTGTTCATTACATCATGAATTGTTGTCTATTTGGTGAGTGTTGCCACCTTCCATTAAGTGAATCAAAAGCATTCTGGCCAAAAAAAAAAAAAAAGCAATAGTAAATAAAAAATAAGGTTTCCAGAATCGGATCGGATACTGAACCGTAAAAGTCAGTGGTTTATAGTTTGCATGGTTTAACTAGGTTGGACCAATGATTAAATTGGTGACATAATAATTAAATTAAAAATTAAAAAATTTATATATGTATATAATAATTTGAATATAAAAAATAAATATGAAATTGCTGCTTAATTTTAAAAAACTAAATATTTTAAGTTTATCATGATTTAACGAGCCACATGATGTAATATAACATCAAATGATTAAAAAAATTGATCATTCCCTAAAAACAATTTGATTAAAAAAATTAATAGTTTGGTTCTTGAAAATCAAATTCAGTTCCAGGTCCAAAATGGCCTAACTTGGCTCAACCTCCAAGACAGTTTTTACATATTGATTAAACTGAAATCTGGACTAGTCGACGATCTGACTGTCCAGTTTGATCTAGTTTTTAAATCAATGAAAAAAAACATAATGGAAAATAACGTTTTATCTTTTTCTTTTTTTTGAAAAAAAATTCCATTTATTACATTATTTTTTTTAAATTTGATCATATGTGAATTTGACCTCATGTTTAACAAACCTGAGAATATTTTTGGTATGGAGATAAAAGCTTTTTATTCTAAAAATAAAATATTTCTTCTTGCAAATAAAATTTTTCATAGCGAAAAAGACAGGACTTTGTTCTCATTAGACCTTTAAGATAATTTTAAAAATTAAATTTCTAATAATAAATAATCTTTTAAAATATAATTTTTTTGTTCTTGTAGTTAAGATTTTTATTTATAATTTTGACAAAACACAATCATTAGTTTTTATAATTTCATGGAGTTTTACTTTTAATCTCTGTAATTTTTTTAATATTTTTAGTTTTTTTAATTTTAATAAAATTGGGTAACATTCCTCTCATAGTTGAAAACACTAAAAATAAATTTCAGGTATTAACATCATTGTATAAGTTGTCTGACAGTGACCTCCTTGCGCACTTTTGTTGTCTCATTATATCATTGTATGTCATGTTTTTATCTCAATTATTATGGAGATAAATATAACCTTTTTAAAAATATCAGTTTTTTATAGTATATATTTATATATTCAAGTATTCTTATCAACGAATATTTTCCCTCAAAATACTGTCAATATCAAGCCTTCTTTTATTCAAAGCAGTGCCATGTTGCCATTTCTAGTTGATAACTTGACCTTTTGAGTTACTTCAGCCATATAAATTTGACTCTAATTTACCTTGCCTTAGTGGTAATGAGCTGTGGTTAATTTTGGTGACACATGGCCGCGGTTAATTTTTTTATTTAATAAAAAGACACGTGTCATTCTCAAATATAATTACATTTCTTGCACTCCCTGTCTAGGAGGGATAATGACTTTAGCGGACCAAATCAATCTTTGAGGGTGTATCAAAGTTTATAAGTTGACTTTGAAAGCATTATAGAGTTGATTGAACGAAGAATGAGAGTTAAGTTATGAAAGAATAAATTATTAATAATTAGGTCTAATTTTTTTTCAAAAAATAAGTTTCAAATATCGATTGAAATAATGCAAATTCAAGATTTTTAAGTGCAAATAAAAATTTAAGTTTTAAATATAACCTTTAGTTTACTATTGAGAATTTTATTTATAATTGCTTGAGTCACTATTTATGCATTATCTTTATGAAATTTTATCAAGAATCTAATTATTATTAATTTATTCTTTCAAGATTTTACTTGTGACTGTCCCTTGACTCAATTAAGGTTCGCTCAAGTTAGTGCATAGTAAGTTGATTAACTATTCAATTAGTTTGTGTGTATACTGAATTAGGATTTAGGATTACAAATTACTTTTTGAATAACGTGTGTGGGGTGGGCGTAGATGACAAGATGGTAATTGCGTGGGCAAAAAAATCCAGACTCAAAACATTTATACTGATAAGAATTAAAAAGATAAGATAAAGGCCTTGGACGAGGATATAATAATGTAGGACCCACTTTATCTTCTCAGTAGATTCTTCACGAGTTGTTGTTGGTTGGCTATCACTTTACATATGAATGTGCTGTCAAAGTAGGCGTGGAAAATGTGTTATAATATTTAAAAGCGCCTTCTAATTAATGAGTAGCTGTTATAATTAATGGTTTTATTTTTGCCTCAATCTATTTGATTTCCAAGTTTACTGAAGTAATTGATATCTTTAATGGATAGTAAAACTTTTCTTCCCTCAAGTCATTTTAATTATTAATTTAATCTTTAAAATTTCATAACTTGTATAGCATATACAAGAAGTCCCTGCAGCGTTATTTTCCCTTCAAATTATAACGGCTGATTGTGTATGATTCTAAAATATTAAGGATTAAATCGATTAATCAATATCGAAGACAAATTTAAGAGATAAAAAATTTATTATTCCTGTTTTTAATATATACAAATGCAGAAACAAGAGCCATTTCATAATCATTCTCATAAATGATTGTATTTCGTGCACTCACTAAATAGAGATTGCACAAGATATAAATGCAATAATGCAGTGACCTTGCTAATTTACAACATCATTTGGACTGTTGAAATCAAATATGAATTGTCAAGATTATATATATGTTTTCAAAATTTTTAATAGTCAATTATTATTATTTTTAAAAATATAATCATAATAGTATTCTTATTTTGTGTAATGTTATTTATAAAATAATTAAGAAAATATATAATTATATATAAAAATCTTAACCATAACTAAATCTATATATATAATTCAACTGTGTTAGTGGGTCTATTTTGGGCATCAATCATTGGCGGCATGTCAACGTTTATAAACTGACCTTGAACGTAAATACAACGGAGCAGATTCAATGAAGATCTCTCTCTGAGGTAGTGCCTAATAATTTTAATTATTTTCTTGACCAGAGTCTGATAAATTTAATGAAGCACTTGAGTGATTGGTTTGTTTGTTTAAATGCCCAATGAGGAATTACTATAATTTATTTTTCAAGGAAGGTGTGTGGTGGGGTAGGTAAGATGGGAATCGCATGTGCTATTAGGCCCCTTCACCAGTAAGTTTGTTGGGTCTCAAATAAATCATAAGAAAAGAATGTAATGTCAAAAGAAGACAAAAGAAGGCGTGGGAAATGCCCTCTTATATGTTAAGCTTTAATCATGGTAATGAAATCTAACTCAAGTTAGCTGGAGAGACCAATGAACCAGTGAATCAATTTTTTAGCTAGTTCGATCAAGATTTTTTAAATGGACAACTGAGTTGAATTTTAACAACATCATTTTGTATTTTTAAAAAAATAACAAAATAGCAATACATTATATTTGTGCTTTAATAACTCTATTTTGTTGGATTGTTGAATTGTGTGGTTTGTACATGTTTATATACGAATATTTGATATTTTTATTAAATTATACTGTATTAGTTTAACGATGATTGACTGATCTCAATTTAATTACTGTTGGATTATTGAAGCTTGAATCTATGTCTCGACAAATTTAATGACTAATCGGTCTTAAGTTAGCTTTTGCTTGAATAGCTTAAACTTGACTCTATGGGCCTTTTGTGCATTTAATCCTCTGTCGGACACGTGTTCATCACATCACCTCTATTTTATTGTTAATATTTTTTATTTTATTTATAAATCACTTTTAATATATTTTATTAATATTAAAAAAATCTTAAAATTTATTAAATTTATCTTAAAATTTAATAAATTTTTAACTTTACTCTTATTAAATATACACACTTAAATAATATATTTTTTTTCTTACATTTAATAAAAGATAAAAAATAAAATTTAAAATAAAAATTTAATGATATGATTTATAAATAGAATAAAAAAATTTATTTTCTATCTATCCTATAAATAAGATTAAAAGGAGTATGCTTTCAACTTTCAAGAGTTGAGGATGAATTTCATGAAAGGATCAATTATTATGAAATTCTTATAAGACATACTATTAAGATTTTTTTCAAATAGCACTAGATTTGACTTAAATTGTCATTTTTTAAAAATTTAAATAGTGACTCTCTTAAAATATTCTGTAGAACTCAATAATAATATTGGTCATAATTTTAATTTTTTTAAATATGTCATATGAATATTTTTAACATTTGCGTGTTTAGCTGTTAAACGATTAGGTTGAAGGGATCGCTTTCAAAATATTTAAGTTAAACAAGTGTTAATTATTTTCAACAATCAAAATTTCTCTTAATATATTTTGGGGAAATTCAAGCAAGTTACTGCTGAGTTTTTTTCAAATTTAAAAGTCTTAAAACTATAACATTTTCAAAGTAATTTTGCAGTGGTTGATTGTGCACGTTATAATGAGTGCCCATTTAAATTTTATTTGAATATAATAAATTATAAAAATAATTAATTAAATAATAAATTTTAATTATAATTAATTATATTATAACGCAATTTGTTTGTATATCATTTTTTTTAAATTAATTTTAACATAATTGAATATATTTAAATAATTTAATCAGAATTAATTTTAACTATTTAAATTATTATAAAGGACGTTGCTTTTTAAAATTAAATTATTAATATATTTTTATCTAATATTATTAAATTTTATTTAAGAAGTAAAATATATTATTTAAATTGCATATTTGATTAATTATAAAAATTTAAATTATATCAATATTAACAATTTAATTTATGTAAATAAATAACTCAGTATATTTTAGTTTAAATAAATTTAAAAAAGAAAAAAATTTAATTCTTAAATATCAAATATTAATTTTATAATAATTAATGAAAATAATGATATATAAATTGATCTCTAATAACATTATGGATATGAGTTATATCCAACAAAAATATTAAACACTACCTTAAAATTTTGGCAATGTGAAAAATGTAGCAATGTCACAAATGATGCAAAATTTCTCTCTTTGAATCTTTTGCAATAATCTTTGTCATGACTCTAAATTTTAAATTAATTTTTCTTTACTAATTAATATTTTATTTGAATTAGTTTTATAGTGAAGGGTGATGATTGATAGAAACTTATACTAATAACATTTTTGAGGATATAAAATATGAATTTTATTAAAAAAAAAAAAAAAAAGAGAGTTTAGTTTTATTTTTATTAAATTATGTGTTTTTTTGTAATTTTTTTAAGTCTTTCTTTGTAATTTTTTTCAATCCTTTTTGACGGCTTTGCCGCAAAAGCTCAGATTCGGAGCTGCCAGAAAAAATTGATTTTTCCCCCAAAAACCAATTAACCAAAAAAGTGGGTGTTTGGGTAGTTGAAGCAAAAATTGATTTTTTTCCTCAAAAAATCGATTAACATGTTTATCCAAACACACACTGAATTATGCTCCGCTCGGGCCCAATAATAAATTTAGTATTTAAAATAGATAAATTCATATAACTAAAATTTTTGAAACGAATTGATGCAGGCGAGCCACCTATACTTCACTGTACGAGAAAAATTTGGATGATCAAGTTTGTCCAGCAGTGGTCCCTGACTATGTAATCCAAGCAGCCCACTCCGACAAGTACTGGGCTCCTCACCCACAGACTGGGGTATTTGGGCCTCCAACTGACCACATCACTGCTACCGCTACAGCCACCGTTGGAAGCCACAACCGTTCAACGCCGGCAGCTGCCGATGCCAGTGCTGCATCAGTGCTGGAGGAGAAGGCCTGGTTCCGCCCAACCAGCCTGGAGGACTTGGAGAAGCCCCACCACTTGGCTTAAGCTTTGATACTATCACTACTACTTTTATATATATATATAAGATAATAAGCACTAGAGTAGTGCATTGTGGTGTGCTTGCCTTTGTGTTGTTGGTATACATTGCTCCAAGTTTGATGCTTGTTGAGGAGTTTCTATTTTATGTAGTTTCTACTTATGAACAACATTATGAAGGTGTGGTCCAAGTGCTTTTTATGGACCACTGGTGGTGGTGGTGATAATGATAAAATTATAGTTATGCTTACGATGGTAATTTTTGTTGGTATTGCCCTTTCTTATACAAGTCTTTTTGGGATGGTTTGGCAATGTTAATGTTAATAATTTATCAATCTAAGCATATTATTTGCTCTTTAAAATAATCACTCTATTAAAAAAATATAAAATATTTTTAACAGAATCTTATCCCTAATAAAATAATTATTTATTTTTAAACTAACATCATTTTTTCATATGTATCTCTATTTAATATGATGTTTCATTTCAAAATAAATGTAAAGTTGTTTATTCATAGAAGCATTGTTGAAAAAAAATACAATAATTACACATTAAAACATTAAAAATGTCTTCAACCTCTCAAAAAATATCTTACATTTTTTAATGAAAAAGGTAAGTGTATTTAATAATTTTTTTATAAAAATAGATAATGCATGTGACTTCTAGTCATATTTTTATTATAGCTTTTTTTCCTGAAATGTATGAATACATACAAGTTGCTAATTTTTTTTTATATTTCTATTTAGTTTTTTTAAAATTATGGAACAAATTTGGAATCTACATTTGAGAACTACATATATTTTTTGTGAGTATAAGAAAGAAAGGCAGCAAATATTATTTCCTTCGAGTTGCGAAAGTAAGAAGAGGCCTTGCATCTCTTCTAGAGCTGAGAAATACAGCTAAAGGCTTGGCCCTTATGGGCTCGGCCCTTAAGGATCTAAATTCTAAAATTCGATTTCCTATTTTGAATCTTTTCTCAAGCTCGAGCCTTATGTAAAGCGCTCAGGGTCGGGCCCGTAAGCCCTTTTTAAAAAAATAAAAATAAACTTAAACATTATAAATTAATTAAAATATTCTAAAATTAAAAAATAAAATTCTCATAATTTTTTAAAAATTAAATAACACACATTTAAAAGTCTAATACTAAAATTTAAATCTTGGCTAAAAATAATTCATTTTTTATAAATATACAAACATAATAATTATAGAAAAATAAAAAATATCAAGAATTTTATATTATACACTAATATTTATTAAATTATATTATATTAATTTTAGAATAAATTAAAATTAATAATAATATAATGTGTGTAGGATCAAGTGAGCAGATGATTGGCTTCAAATATATGTTTCACCCAAGAAAATAATAATAATAATAATAATAATATAACAGGGCTTGAAGCGCTACCCGAACCCGAGCTCTTTTTTATAGAGCTTATCAAGGCCAAGCTCTCAAGCCCGATTACTTTAAAAAAAATTATTTTCAAAGCCTAAACCTTTATTTAAATAGGGCCTCCAGGCCCGACCCTTATTTTTAGCTCTAATCTCGTCTCATGACTGATCTGAAAAAAAAAATATTGGGGGCAAAGAAAATTTTTTGCATCATTATTTTACAATTTTTTCTTTCCTTATAATATTTTTGGATAAATGCCCCATTAGCAACCAAGTAGTCCCGTCCCATGTCTCATCTTCACATTATATTCATCATCTTTTTCTCCCCCACTGTATCTTTCTACAATGGATGTACAGTTTTTCAGAGCTCTGATATTAGATATAAAATAAACAATAATAAAATTTTATTAAAATATATAAATAATAATCAGATCATTTCAAAATACCATAATTTTTATGAGATTCTTGACTACTTTTCTCACATTAATGTTTTTAATTTAAATGACTAAATTATCCTCTATTTAAAATAAAAATAACTGATATGACTTCATTTTTTTAATCACAACTATTATGTAAATTGTAAAAATTAAACAATAAATCACAACTTTTTATGTAAAATTTCTTTTATAATTGATAAATAAGTTTTGAAAATAACAAATTCAATAACTACTTCTATTTAAACAATCATGACTTTGATTATATGAATTGCAAAAATTATATGAGAAATCACAATTTTTCATATGAAATTTTTATTATTATTGAAGTTTAAGTTTTAAAAATAATCAATCATAATTTTTATTCAAGCAATCACATTTTTTTATTATATGAATCATAAGAATTAACTAAAAAATCATAACTTCTCACATGAAATTTTTGTTTGTCATTGAAGTTTAAATCTAAAAATAATCGATTACAATTTTTATTTAAATAATTACAATTTTTACTTCATGAATTATAAAAGTTGAATAATAAATTACAACTTCTCACGTGAATAAGTTATTTTTTTATTTTAAATAATGAATAATTTAATTATCAAACCCAAAAATGCCAAAAAAGATATCAAAAGACTGTCAAAAAATTATAACATTTAAAAAAATTATTATTTATATATTTTAGCGGGACGTTGTTATCATTTTTATTTGTATATATCTGCTTTTTAAGGCAATAAAGCTAATAATAGATATTTTTTTTTGCCAACATGGAGAGAATAATAGATTCAAAGCACTAAGATCAGTCAAGAAGATCAATTACTAACGCAAGCATGGTCTTCCATTAATTGATGGAACAACACCATGATTTGAAGTGTCATCTCAAATTTGCATGATCATTGTAACTTTTACGATTAAAGGGTAAATCTATACATAAAATAATTAATAAGGGACACTCATTATCATAAAAGTAAAGAAGGGGATATAATATGAGTGAAAGTTGAAGTGATTAAACTATTAACTTTATTCTAATAGTATTAGTTTTCAGTGTTAAATGATAACTATATATGTCATGTGTTAGTTTTCATTGACATAAACTAAAAAAGAATAAAAATATTCATAAAGTGGTCAGTCAAAGATGTTGAGTAACCTAAAGTGAAAAGGACAAAAATATCCATAACGTTATTAGAGTTAGTGCAAAAATGACCAATTTATCAAATTTCTTAAATATTTACTGTTTAGTTGACATCTAATCAGAAGTTGACTATTTTCTTGTTGATGTGGACAAAAAATATTCCCAGATGAAATTCTATGAAGGTTAATCAATCATTGTATGAAATATTATGTGAAAAAATGTCATTTTAACTGAATATCAAATTAAATCACTCATTTCTTTGTCGCAATGGTGAAAACCATTTGAAAATTTTAAACTTATCATGAATGAAATTGTTTAAGATTATAGAATTGCTTTTAAGGTAGGGTGGCATAGGAGGTGTGCTTGGTTTCGATCTTCAATTGTGTACAATTTATCTTATTGTGTTAAATCTCACATTTTAACAAATTGATCACTATTGCACATCCTAAAGTAACATTATAGGTACTCATACAATGATTGATCAACCTTCTTATAAATTTACCTGAAAATATTTTTTGTTTACATTAGCAAAAAATAGTCAACCTCTACCTAAATGTTAGCTAAACGGTCAACATTTAAGGAATTTAATGAATTGGTCACTTTTATACCAATTCTAGTAATGTTATGAATTTTTTACTCTTTTTTTTCTTACTTTACGTTATTGGATGCCCTTGGCTGACTACTTTGTAGGTATATTTACCTCTTTTTAGTTTATGTCAGCAAAAATTGACACATGACATACATAATCAGCATTTAATATCGAAAACTAACGTTGCTAGAACAAAGTTAAAGACTTGGTCACTTCTACACTCACTCATGTAATGTTATGAGTATTTATGCCTCTTTCTTCACTTTATGATATCAGATGCTCCTAACCGACTATTTTATATATAGATTTGCCCTTTAATCCTAACTTTCAACATGTTTTATCAAAATTAAAAAAAAATTATTAATTTTATTTTAAAATTTAATAAACTTTCACTTCCATTCCATAATAAGAAAAAATAATTTTTTTAACATTTAGTAAAAAGAAAAATGTAAAGATGAATATAAAAAAATATAAAATAAAATGTTTTATAAATATAATTAAAATTAATTTTCTTCCTTCAACATAAATAAGATGCGTGGAGTAGATGATGATAAAACTGCAACATATGTAGCTGTGACCTCATCAAATTGTTTAATCATGTTAAGGCAAGCCTTTGTAATATCTGTGGTTCCTCATCATCAGCCACATGGTTCAGACTGAAATCAATGAAGCGATTATGCTGTAGGAAACACTAGTCGAGTTTGTTCTTGTTGAGTCTGTACGTGTTAGTTGGGCCCAGATAGTTAATCCGGCCGACGATGAATAGTTAAAGTCTGTCATTTAGTCAAAAATTGTTTGTAGTCATTTTTTGTCCAGTTAGTAATGAATGGAGCTCGTACACAAATATATTTATTGTGCGTGTGAATATTCAGTTTTGAATGGGCCTGTACCTTCTCTACATTAATAATAATTAGAATTTGAAAAAAAGACAGATGTCTAATTATTTTAAAAAATTATTTTGAATAACTTTTAAAAATAATCTAATACTATGGACCAGAGTGAGTGTTTTAAAAAAATGTAAAAATATCATAAAATTTTAAAATAATATAATAATAAATTATTTATAAAATAAAAATTAAGGTAGATATTATAAAATATAAAAATAACTAATTAATAATCACTTTTTATTATCATACTCAAACATAAAATAATGTGTGTTTTTTTATAAAATTTCCTTTTTAAAATCTCTAAACTTTGTAAAAATTAATTTTTTTAATTTTAAACAAACAAGCAATATATTTCGGAAATCAATTTTAGCTTTAAAATTATAGTCTTGAAAATTTTTATCCAAACATTTTAATTTTTTAAAATTTCATTTGGCTTCTCAAACTTCATTTGGGAGAAGTTGAATTTTGTTTCATTTAGCAATCTAAGCCCTTATTTTATCCAAATCAATTTTTGAAAATTTATTCAAATATTATCACATTTTGAAAACTAATTTTTTTATAATTAATTTTTCTCAATTAAAATCTAAATGTGCGTTCTAATAAACCTTTTAAAATCATCTTGGAGTTAAAATTATCTTTTTAAATTGGGTGTTTTTCTCTTTATTTTCTAGTCAACATGAGGTTGAAATTATTGAAAATTGTTTTGTCAAAATTGTTAATATTATACAGTAACATGGTTTAAATTGTTGAATTTATTTTAATTTTTGAATTATTATAAAAAGTTAAATTGCATATTAACATAGTTAGGAATTTAAATAA